GTGTGAGAGTGAGTGAGTGTGAGGGAGGGGACGGGAGGAGTGCGGCGGGAGGCGGATACAGAACTAAAAACAAAAACCCCACACGTCAATGTGGGGAAATATTCCTTTTTACTGCCGTGCATTCCTATCATTGAGTTTGTTTTCTTTATCTTTAGCCGATTCTGTCCCCATTTCCAGCTATCGCAATACTTGTGTCATATACACCAAATGTTCACGCACCCATGGGTTATGCATAATGTTGGGCACTGTGTTCTCGCCCTTCCCTGGTAATTATGGTTGTTTCTTGTGATATATCCAATGTTTGTCGCTTTCTTCTAGCTGACCCGGCTGAATGGTGAGCCGGGGGTAAAATGTGGTTCTCGGGAAAGCCTAGTTTTCCAGGTAAAACTGCATTTTACCCCTGAAACCGCATTTGGTTTCTGGTTATGGAAGGCTAGGGTAATTATAATATATTTGGAATTAACATCCCTTTTTTAGGTGGTACTACTTCCATTCATTGCTGGCAAGACAACGCTCCTAATCACAATTGTATTCCCATCTCGGGTTCTTTTTGCAAAAGCATACAATAATACCAAATCTTGCTCTTTGCCGCAAAATCCCGCTCTCGCCGTCCGAGAAAAAAGCATACGTACAATAAAAATAACCATACTAAATACTACTACTACTACTACTACTACTACGACTACTACTACTACTACTACTACTACTACGACTACGACTACGACTACGACTACGACTACGACTACGACTACGACTACGACTACTACTACTACTACTACTGCTACTTACTACTACTACTCCTACTGCTACTGCTACTGCTACTGCTACTGCTACTACTACTGCTACTGCTACTGCTACTGCTACTGCTACTGCTACTGCTACTTCTGCTACTACTGCTACTGCTACTGCTACTGCTACTGCTACTGCTACCGCTACTACTACTACTACTGCTACTGCTACTGCTACTGCTACTGCTACTGCTACGGCTACTGCTACTACTGCTACGGCTACTGCTACTGCTACTGCTACTGCTACTTCTACTGCCACTGCTACTACTGCTACTGCTACTGCTACTGCTACTTTTGCCATTGGTAATCATAGTTTTGCAAGCCACTTATGTGTGGTATGACCCAGGAATCGGGACTTCCTCACCAGTGATTTTGGGTGCCATGGCACTCCTTCGGTTGTTCGATGCCAAGTTCTGTGGAGCTCAGTGAGCTCACGCCCAAAGTTGCCAGAGTTTCGTCGGTTCCGTCGGTCGCTTCCGAGGCCCTGATCTTCGGCACCTCACCTGCGGTGATCCGCTTCATTCCCTATGTGACTTGTGACTAGGCTACTAAAGGTACTAAAGGCTTATTGAAGATATATAATATAAATAAATAAATATATATATATATATCAGTGTTATTTATCTATTTACAAGTACGGTCAAATATGTATATAGCCGACGGGCTTCTTATCAGTTGTCGCTTTCAAAACGTGGAGCAGCACAACCTAATTATATACTTGTTCCTTGGTTCGCTTGCCAAGTCACAATATATCCAGGCCACCTAGTAGAATTAGACTAAATGCTGCAAACAGGTTTAAGTTTAAGTCATTTAAAAGTCATACCCCCAAAACTAGCAAACTATCGTTGACCGAAGGAACGCTCAGGAAATATTGCCACTTCACTTCCACTGCAGCTTTTGTCATCCCCAAGGAGGAGTTCCAATTCACAAAGTACAGCAACTCTCCACTTGCAAAGCACCATACGCGCCCACAAACACAGCAAGGTCACCTACTTACTTCTAAAGCCGTTTGTACGTAGCGGCATAGCCTACTTGAACTGTAGGTGATTATTTATAAATATTATATATATATGCTTTTAAGTGGTTATTCTGGCCATACTTCTATGAGGGTCGCATAGAGGTATGTCTAAATAGTACCTGTCCTATATGTAAGCATGCTGCATACATGCAAGTAGTTGTGAATAGGATAAGGTAGGATAAGCAAACATATGTCTTTATGTTTTTTGGGAACTTGAACTTTTCAAAGTCCAAACAAAGTCCTGTTTTCGTTTCATATTTGGTAAGAACGCATCAAACTATGAACATCTTCATTGCCTTGGCGACTCCTGGGGTTGTGAAGGGGGGACAAGGCTTTCGCGTGTCGAAAGCGATCGAGTGAGAGGGGGCCTGCAGCTCTGCAAACTTAAACATAAATCCTTAGCCTGGTACCTAGAATGTATCTAGATGTATCCTGAATTTATGTCATTATCTTTTTACTCGCTTCAAAAGATACGAAAAAAACATGCATCTTTTTTGCCAGGCGAAAACTTTTGGAACAGGCCCAGGAGCAGCCTTGAAAGTAGTGAAAAGTAGAACATCTACAGCAGCAAGTACTTGCAGGTAAACTATATATAATAAATACTTAATATATATATATATACATATATTAGAAGTACCTCAGCTCCACTGCGCACGCATTTCAAGATTGTTTTGAACGCCCACAGCCGCACAACCAACCTATATTATATTTATATATATACTCTTCAGCAACCACCGACACGCATTTACCAAGAACAAAAAAGGTATTCGCGCAAATTCATGCATTCAAATCACAAGGTCTTGTCAGCTCTCCCCTCTTGTCACATCGTCTCATCTCTTTCACTTTGCACTTTGCACCCTTTCTCACCTCTTCTCCCCTTTTCTCACCTCTGCTCACCTCTTCTCACCTCTTCTCATCTCTTCTCAACTCCTGTCACCCCTTCCCACGTCTTCTCACCTCTTTTCAACCTTTATCAACTCTTCTCCCACTTGTCACCTCTTATCATGTCCCCTCAAATCTTCTCACACCTTCTCCCCTCTTCCCACCTCTTTTCAGACCTTCTCTCAACTCTTCTCTACTCTTCTCACATCTTCTCGTCTCTTCTCACCTCCTGTCACCGCTTCCCAACGCTTCTCAACTCTTGTCACCTCCTGTCAGCTCTTCTCACCTCTTCTCACCCTTTCTCTACTTTTCTCACCTCTTCACACCTATTCTCAGCCCTTCTCAACTGTGAACCACTGTCAAAACATCTGTAGCTCAGAGTTAGGCGACGAAACTTCCTTCGATCAAATCACTAGTTTCCCATACTACACACCAAGTCTGTATATGGCATATTTACAGGTCAAACAACTGGCAATTTTTTGAAGTACAGTAAATGGGGGTGAATTTGCTATACATGATCTACAGTATCATGATTTGGCACAGGTCGAAAGTCTCCACAAATGTGTTTATTACGTTTGTTGTTTTCGACAGACTTTATTCCATATTCCCCAGGACTGGATCATGTACAATTAAAAGAGATCACAAACAAATTTGATCAATGCCATTCACTCATAATTTAGGCATTGGCATCAACACAATGAACAGCGCCTCGGTAAGGTTGCAATAAGTGTTCACAAAGTTCATCCAAGCGAGAACTCAGGATGCTAAACTGCCTCAAAGAATTTGGGGCAGATCATGATAATTCCCATCACTGAAATATGCCTTCGGTTTCGTCTAGAGGTATGGTGCTGTGACAAAAGCAGGTTCTGTAATTTTGTGAATGGCTGACCGAAACCTGCTTCAGGCTGCTAACTGTTCTTTCCCTCATGGGGTGGGGCTAAATCAAGGAACACCTGCTTCTACTGAACCGTGACAAGCCGTGCAACACTCCAGTCTCGGCATGGGCCGCACACAAATTAATGCTAAATTGTCCAACGAACTGCGCGGACAGTATAGTATATAGGCCCCATCTTCCAAGCATTCATGAATATTGCCAACCTGTACCCTCAGCCTAGAAACAGCCACAAAAAATTGTTCATTCTTCAACACCTTAAATCCGCCGACCCCGCTTGCAGCAAAGGGGAGCGCGTCAAAGGAACAATTACCAGCAGCAAGGGGCAAGAACTTATTACAAGCAGCAAGGGGCAAGAAGCAAGAAGCAAGATGTCAGGAATAAGGGGGTCAGGAACCAATTGCAAGCAGCAAGGGGCAAGTTTTGGGAGCTTGGGCAAGCAGTTTGGAGCCAGTTCCTTGTGGATTCAGAAAGTCACAGGCGGCTGACGGCACAAAAAGGGGTCCAGCAGCAGGAAAAGGTCGAAGTCTGAGGTTAGGTTGCGAGGGACCCCTTTTTGGAGGATCCAGGCCGCTGTTAGCACAAAAAGGGGTCCAGCGGGAGGGAACTGAAAGGTATGTGTGGTTGTTGTTGTTGTTGTTGTTGTTGTTGTTGGGCCCCCCCAAATAACAACGACGGGGGTCCCAGTGTTTGTTTGTACCCTGAAGGTAGAAACAAGAGGTATATAGTGAGGACGAGGTCCAGGTGTCTGTTTGTACCTTGTTCTTGTTCTTGTTCTTGTTCTTCTTGTTGTTGTTGTTCTTGTTATTGTTCTTGTTCTTGTTCTTTTTTCTTGTTCTTGTTATTATTCTTCTTGTTCTTCTTCTTCTTGTTGTTGTTGCTGTTGTTGTTGTTGTTGTTCTTGTTCTCGTTCTTGTTCTTCTTCTTGTTCTTGTTCTTGTTCTTGTTCTTCTTATTGTTCTTCTTCTTGTTCTTCTTCTTGTTCTTCTTCTTCTTCTTCTTCTTGTTGTTGTTGGTGTTGTTGTTGCTGTTGCTGTTGCTGTTGCCACACAGCTTATTTTCGCATTTTTGTGGACCCCTAAACATCGTCCAATAGGCGGTGTTTTTGCGTATTTTTGAGACCCTCGGAGCAAAAAACACCGGAAATACCGATGTTGTTTGCGCCTCGGAAGCCACAAACCGCGTTATTTACGATGTGTTTTGCCATTGGTAGCAAAAATCAACAATGTTTTTTTTTGCCCGCGCCTAGCAAAAACACTGTTAATTATCTGCGCAGTTTTGACCATGTTGCAAAATGTATTTTTTTAAGCAAAAAGGACAAAAACACTGTATTTTACGATAGGGAAGAACCCAGGAGAATAAACATAAGTGGTCTGGCACTGTCAGGAGTTCATCCAGGAGAGACACTTCAAAGAATCGTCAAACATTGCCTTTCTGAACTAACTAGAAACTAGCTTGAAACCTTCACATTTCGCTTGCCCTCCTGCACTGCTAGCTTCCAACTGGCTTGCTTGCTCTTGCAGCTGGCTTCCTTCTTAAACTGCTCTGGTAAAGGGATCGTGTCGCAGGGCAAAACACCATCGAACTGAAGGACGGATCGGGCCCGCCGCCAGCTGCGCAGAGTGCCAAGCATTGCCTTCTGAACTGACTAGAAACTAGCTTGAAACTAGCTTGAAGCTAGCTTGAAACCGTCACATTTCGCTTGCCCTCCTGCACTGCTAGCTTCCAACTGGCTTGCTTGCTCTTGCAGCTGGCCCCCTTCTTGCACAGCTCTGGTAAGGGGACCCTGTCGCAGGGCCAAAACACCGCCGCCAGCTGCCCAGAGTGCCAAGCGTTGCACTGCTAGCTTCCAACTGGCTTGCTGCCCTTGCAGCTAAGCCTGCCCTCCTGCACTGCTAGCTTCCAACTCGCTTGCTTGCTCTAAAGGGACCGTGTCGCAGGGCCAAAGCACTATGGAACTGAAGGACGGATCGGGCCCGCCGCCAGCTGCCCAGACTGCCAAACGTTGCTTTCTGAACTGACTATAGAAACTAACTTGAAACTAGATTGAAACTTCACATTTCACCTGCCGTCCTGCTCCTGCACTGCTAGCTTCCAACTGGCTTGCTTGCTCTTGCAGCTGGCTTCCTTCTTGCACAGATCTGGTAAAGGGACCCTTTCACACGCAAACACCAGTGAACTGAAGGACGGAGCGGGCCCGCCGCCAGCTGCCCAGAGTGCCAAACCTTTGCCTTCTAAACTGAGTAGAAACTAGCTTGAAACTTTCACATTCGCTTGCCCTCCTGCACTGCTAGCTTCCAACTGGCTTGCTTGCTCTTGCAGCTGGCTTCCTTCTTGCGCAGCTCTGTTAAAGGACCGTAACGCAGGGCCAAAACATTACGGAACTAAAGAACGGAGCGAGCCTGCCGGCAGCTGCCCAGACTCCCAGACTGCCAAACATTGCTGTCTGAACTGACTAGAAACTAGCTTGAAACTAGCTTGAAACTTTCACATTTCGCCTGCCCTCCTACACTGCTGGCTTCCAAAGTGCCTGCTTGATTGCAGCTGGCTTCCTTCTTGCACAGCTCTGGTAAAGGGACCGTGTCGCAGGGCCAAAACACCATGGAACTGAAGCACGGATCGGGCCCGCCGCCAGCTGAAAATTAAAAGCTAGATGAAACTAGCTTAATTAACTTAATTAAGCTTAATTAACCTTCACATGTCGCTTGCCCTCCTGCACTGATAGCTTCCAACTGGCTTGCTTGCTCTTGCACCTGCTTTCCTTCTTGCACAGCTCTGGTAAAGGGACCACTGAAAGGACGGATCGGGCCCGCCGCCAGCTGCCCAGAGTGCCAAACGTTGCCTTCTGAACTGACTAGAAACTAGCTTGCAAACTTTCACATTCGCTTGCCCTCCTGCGCTGCTAGCTTCCAACTGGCTTGCTTGCTCTTGCAGCTGGCTTCCTTCTTGCGCAGCTCTGTTAAAGGACCGTAACGCAGGGCCAAAACATTACGGAACTAAAGAACGGAGCGAGCCTGCCGGCAGCTGCCCAGACTCCCAGACTGCCAAACATTGCTGTCTGAACTGACTAGAAACTAGCTTGAAACTTTCACATTTCGCCTGCCCTCCTGCACTGCTGGCTTCCAAAGTGCCTGCTTGATTGCAGCTGGCTTCCTTCTTGCACAGCTCTGGTAAAGGGACCGCGTCGCAGGGCCAAAACACCATGGAACTGAAGCACGGATCGGGCCCGCCGCCAGCTGAAAATTAAAAGCTAGATGAAACTAGCTTAATTAACTTAATTAAGCTTAATTAACCTTCACATGTCGCTTGCCCTCCTGCACTGATAGCTTCCAACTGGCTTGCTTGCTCTTGCACCTGCTTTCCTTCTTGCAGAGCTCTGGTAAAGGGACCACTGAAAGGACGGATCGGGCCCGCCGCCAGCTGCCCAGAGTGCCAAACGTTGCCTTCTGAGCTGACTAGAAACTATTATAGCTTGAAACTTTCACATTTCGCTTGCCCTCCTGCACTGCTAGCCTCCGCCGCCAGCTGCCCAGAGTGCCAAACGTTGCCTTCTGAACTGACCAGAAACTAGCTTGAAACCTTCACATTTCGCTTGCCATCCTGCACTGCTGAATCCACAGGAAACTAGCTCCAAACTGCTTACCCAAGCTTCCAAAACGGACCCCTTCGCCACATTGAAACACCATGGCAGTGAAGGACGGATGGCGCCTGCAGCTTGCTGTGGGCCGTGCCTAATTTTCCTGCTGCTGGACCCCTTTTTGTGCCGTCAGCCGCCTGGATCCTCCAAAAAGGGATCCCCCGCAACCTAACCTCAGACTTCGACCTTTTCCTGCTGCTGGACCCCTTTTTGTGCCGCCATGGATCCTCCAAAAAGGGGTCCTGTGACCTGGCTTCAGACTTGCTTCCGGAGCCACCTTTTCAGTAGCCTTGCCACACAGAGACGCTGTACCTGTGTTGGCTCTCTCTGTACCTTCTTCTGCTTGTGGCCGTTGCTCTCTGTGCAGCTGTTTTTTTCTGGATATACCCCCTCTGTGCCAGAAGTTGCAGAGCATGCCCTTTATACAAGGGTTGCCTAGCTCAGTCGGTAGAGCGCAAGGCGCTTAACCTGAAGATTGTGGGCTTGTGTGCTCTGCACCTGCGCGCACGCGCAGAGCACATGAACAACACCAACGCTCACACTACTATGGCATCGCCGGTGTGCGAAGCTCTACAGTTATCAAAGGGGAACATATGGGCTCTAGATTTCAACACATCCCAACAGGGGTGGGGCCCAAAGCCTATGGCGAGCCAGCCAGCTCTCTGGGGCACATCAGACCCAAAGAAAAAAGGCCAGTAGAACATCAAATAAACTGTCAGGTAGAATGCCCAAACATATGTCCGATGGAATGCCAGACAGTATGTCAGATCAAATGTCATACGGTGCGTCAAATAGAATGTCAGAATATATGTCAGACAGAATGCTTAATCAAATGCCAAGAAACATACTAATATAGATAGACTACAAAATAAACTGCCCAAAAAAAGGCAGGGAATGGCAGAGGAATGTCCGATTGACTGTCAAATAAAATCTCAGATAGAATGTCCGATAGAATTCCCAATAAAATGCCAATTATGTCACATAGAATGTCCAATAGAGTGCCCAATAAAATGCCAACATATATGTCACAACATGGAATGTCAGAATAGAATGCCAGGTTGAATGTTCTATTTTGGTAAAATGCTAGGTAACGTATGCCAAATGGAATGTCGGAATGTATGTCAGATAACATGTCACAAGAAAATATGATGTCAGAAAATATGCCATGGTAGGGTTGTTTTTTTGAAGAAAATCATTCGGAGTCTCATGGCCCCATCCCCCCCCATCTCACCGAAGCTACTGCTGGTTCTGCTTCAACAGCTCACCCTGCCGATGCAGCACACGCTCCACGTTGTACTTCACGAAGCGGGGCGCCGTCTTGGAATCTACGATCCAACGGCTCATGGGCCCCACAAACTCCTGGACGCCAGTTGAAGGTTAGGAAAGCATGGGGCACAAACAGGATATCTATCCCATTTGTCATTGGTCACAACTCCCAACATGGCGTGCAACTTGCCAGAACCTTTCTAATGTCTTCCAATCACTACATATATAATAATATATATATAATATATATATATGTGTAACTCTCCACTTACATGGTTTGGGGGTACCACATATGAAACCTCCATATGTGGGCTATGCCCACCACAAAAGGTTGACCTCGTAACTAAGGATAAGCCTTTCAGCATGGGCATTTAGACTCTTTCATACTTGAGCACTGTATATGCAGGATGTTAGCCCATACGCATGGGCGCTTTGCGTACTCAGCTCTTTTTGAATATGGGGATTGGATGGGATTGCACTTGATAGCGTTGGATCATATTTAATCACAAATGAGGTGCAACTTTAAGCCAATGATTGACTATGGGAAGCATAACAATTAGTTCATCGCAAGTAAGGGCATGACTACTATCCATCCGCGTGTGGGATGGAAACATGAATTGATATATAGTGTCGGACATACACTTAGAATATCAATTTCCAAATTGTTTAATCTCACACTTAGAACCGCTTGTTTAAGGAATTTGCGCTACACTTAGAACATATACTTCGAACATCTGAGCAGTATTGTCCATGATGTTCTAAGTGCGGAGCCCTCGCCACCTAATGATTGCTTCTCTATCTTTGTACATGTATTTGCCTTGGGGTCCTCGCAATCGACTGTGCTAAAGGGATGTGGAACCGGAAAGCGAAACCCGTTATTTTACCTATAACTGAAACTGTCGTAAAGTAGACAGGCCTACCGACAGGTGGGGAAACATTTACTTTCTCTCCATGGATTTCTCACAATCTGGTTTTATCATCAATTCTACAGTGAAAAGGGGTGGACGAAGCAACTGTAGTGTTTTTGTTGGCGTTCAAGATAAAGTAACTAGAAAAAGATGCAACAAGAGGTGGGGGAAGCTGACACTTAGAACATCTCTCGCGCTATCTGTTTTTTCTTTTGGGTCACTGGTTTGAAGTGGAATAAAAAAACAAGTCTTCAGTTCAATCACGGTTTCTCCAAGTGGACAGACAGGTTCACAAAGGTTGACCGATAGGTTGGGGAAACCCAGAAACAAACAACTACCTGTCACCATGGGTCCGCTACAATCTTCATTGTGATATTGTGAGAAAGTTTCGAAGGGTGAGCAGGAATGGGAAGGGAAGAAAAACTTCATAGAATCTTTCAGATACAGAAAGGCGGAAATAGGGTGATGTTCCAAGTGTGAGGACCGCTTCCGACGCGCCGCTTGTCTTTTCTTTCCAAGTGATGTTCTAACTGGCCCTCCGTCATTCAAATTGGGCAAACCAAACAATAAACATCAATTTAATAAACCATACCCCCTGCTGATTCAAAATTTACAACGTTGCGGGCCTTTTTGAAAGACAGCAGACCTCTGATTCAATTCGGGATCCAAAGAGATGGGCATTTGATGATGATTGATTCGGATACATTATATACGCGTGTCCACATCTCTTCAAAATGGCAATAATCACAATCTTATTGTCGTTACCGCATCATCTATGAGTCTATGACTATGACCTTCTCTCAGGTTTTCGCATCACACGTTGATGGCGCTGCCAAGCATCCTCCTTGTTGATGGCGCCGCTCATGTCTGAATCAATCCTGGGGCGGAAAAGATGGCTGGACCACATGGGTGGCACCTTCGGGATTCTTGCTGCTAATAAAATCCCGGTGGATAAGGGCCGCTGAGGGAACCTGAATCGCAGGGACATCATCAGCCAAGACTTACCATAGCCATAGCGGAAAATAGTTCAGAATCATACGACGTAACGCTGGAAAACCAATCTGTCATAGTCATTGGCCAAGCAAAAACCACATTGTTACTGCTTACCGCCACGGCTAAATGAAAAAAAAGGAATTCAAGCACTTTGTCTAATAGGCTGTCTATAAGTGGCACGAGTCTTTTATTCATTTTTCCTGGACTAAGTGGAATATAAAAATTGGTGGAAAAAATTGGTGGAAGTTACTTAAGATGCACAAGACCTATTTAGAAATGGATTGCTATGAAAAAAAAGGCTCAAATTTCATACATGTCTGACATGTCTAGATCCTCTACAATGGATTTCAACCTGGAGCACATTGTGTCTTCAGTGGCATTTTTCGCTTCGCAAGCGTGGGATCTTGCGAATTGCAAATTGCACACAAGAAGGTTCTTACACGTACAGTGGTTGAAGCAAAAAACATGTCAATTTTTGAACTTCAAACACAAAATCAAAAAACAACACGAATATAGTAAGGTTCATCACATTTCGAAATCTGAACAATTTCAGACAAAATCCTGCAATTTGCCTACAACACAGAAAAGAGGCAAGCGTACATTTTCTTCCAATATGTGAACGGCGAAATAACTACCATCAATGAACCTCTGTGCAAAAATAGAAACTCAGAATTCCAAATTCAACATTTGCTTTAATACGATGGCAGCAGAAACTATGATCCCTGCACGTTACTTCAGTATGGTTGAAGTACAAACAGAGTAAAATAAGTTTAAGTAGTTAGAATTTTAAGTCACATATGTTCCAAGAAGTATATTATCTTATAGCCGAAAAGTGCCTTAGGCAAAAAATCTTCATTTAGCCGTCTCAATAAAACCGACGCTGACCGTTGATAACCCTATATATATATATAACCCGATCATCGCATGTAAATAAACGCCACGAAACCAACCTGTCACCAGTCGACCGAGCAAACTTCATGCCGGGCATCATATGAAAGAATTGTTCCAGATCGTCCTATGCAGAGACGCGTGGAGCATGAAGGATATATAAGCCAAAGTTGGGAAACGCTAAGCGTCTGAAAATGGGGCATACCACCAAATGGCATTTTTCATAAGGAATGATCGGACACGATGAAAAAACAACATTTGGGAGGTATTCTGTTTACTGACAAACCTGTATAGGGGGTTGCATCCCAGCTAGTAATTGGCTAACAATCATAATATTCCCTTGGCCCTGGATATGCATGTGTGGGTTCCAAGAATTATATACCTTCCTGGGTGCACATCCAAGTAGTCCATGGTACGTGAGATTTTCACATAGATCATGGGTTCGTCTTGGTTGGCTATAACAGCTAACATGTTTTTTTGTTTCATAGTGCGAAATGTGCGAATTTGACAAACAAGGGAACCAGCCAGTGGGACTTTTTGTCCCCATCTATCATCTACCCAACCAAAAAAAAGGGTTGCAATGACCATGGCTACCATGGCTACCTGAACCCAGAACAGCCGCTTAAAAGAAGCACGTGGCATTCCACATGCCGCCATTGCTCGTCAGGGTGTTAAACACAGTGAGAATTGTGCGCAATTCCGGTGCCAGATTTTCGCATGCCCCCATGTGATTCTACCTTGAGAAGGATCCAAGCGTAGGTAAAATACAAACGAAAACCACCTGATTGGTTGCTTCAAGCAAAAGAGACTCCCCAACATGTATGGCCAACCTGAGCTATCCTGCAAACAAACAAACTTTGAGCAGGATGCGTTTTTCTACTATACGCCCTTGGTAATCTCCATCACTGTCACGTCACCCTGCCCTGCGCAAATCGAAGAACTAAACAACTATTTTCATGAGGCCTCAAAATGCCCAGCAACAACATATTACCCTCTCTGGTAATCCAACAATTTGCTACGGAAAACGGTCCATTTACATCGAATATGTATACAGTATACAAAATAATGATGCAATGATGTTCCATAGGAACATAATGGAGACCGACTGTATTACCAGTTCCTTAGCTCTAGTTTCCTCAATTTATGACCACCGTTGCCACTTGCGCAGGCCAACCACCGCACCTGATCAATATCCATCACTCTCCTGAGTCATCGCTAGCTCCGTGTATCCACGGTGAATCGTTTCCTCCTATAGTAATATATATATATTATATATAATTATATATATATATATATCTCTCTCTCTTTAATAGTATATTAAATATCCGCAAAAAATGGTGGAACTTGCTGGACCTTTTCATTTTGGGATATTTGAGAAAAGGGTATTTGGATTACAACCAAATGAACACTAACCAAAAGAGGCTGGAAAAATCATCCATGGCCATGTGATGTGTGAACCAATGGCGACTTGTGGATTCTTCAAAAGTTCCAAACTGGTGGTTTATCACAGCTGAGGAGATACGCTAATATAACCATGTGCAGTCCGCACTTGAAGATCCATAGTGCAAAACAACATAAACATGGGCTTTGACTATCCTCGACTTAGTTCGGTTAAACAAGATGCCGCCCACGAACCCGAATGCTCACACGCATGTTAATCTTAAGAAGCTGACTAGAACAGAGAAAGTTGATTTTAGCAAAAAACAGCAAAAACAAAAAAACGCAATCAACAACACAATCGCCCAAAAAACATTAACAATTAATTGTACAGATGTCGAAACACATGATTTCAAAAGTCTTGTGCATTCTTCCCGTGTTACTGTACCGGTGTAGACTGTGGAATGGAGTGGTGTGCGGAGCGCGGCGTGTGAAGACAGTGCGGTGTTGAGTGGGGAATGTAGTGTGTAGGGTGTGAAATGTGGATTGTGGAGTATGAAGTGTAGATTGTAAAGTGTAAAGTGTGGAGTGCAAAGTCTGGAGTGTAGAGTGTGGAGTGTAAAGTGTCAAGTGTAGAGTGTGGAATGTAGAAATCTCAGCTGTAAGTGCGGAATAGGCCCCGGTGTTGAAGCTTCGGGCTCCTCAGTAGACCTGGCGGGTCCACGGCAAGGAGCTTGAACTGCGTCTCTGCTACCAGAGTTTTGGTTGCTTTGAGAAGCCCAACCGAACCGTTGCTCTAGTACGTCAGTGGGAGAACCACAAGTTGTTTTGTGATGCGCACGGGTCCAACAAAGGTGAGTCTGATCTGAAGCAGAAAATGTTTGAACTCCTGAGTGACATTGCGGCGCTTGCCAAACGCTGCTGGGTTCCAAAAACTTCCTAGCAGTAAAGCAAGTGCTGGTCCACTCTGGTCCTTGGCCACCTTGCGGGCCACGGCGACCAGGTCCAAGTCAGAATTGATGTTGCGGAAGGGAGTTGAATCACTGTTTCGCGCGCCATCCCTCGCGAAGCATGTGTGCAACTTTGCGTTTGAAATTTGGATCCTCAAAATCGCCAAGTTTCCAATGAAGGTCCAAGTGAGCATGTCGCCAAATCCTGCAGGCTTTCAATTGCCAGCCAGTGTCTTGAAGGAACTGCCCCGATGCTCAAGCAGTCCTGTTGCACGGACCAACCTTCAGAGACAAACCGATTTCCTTAAAGCCGAACTTGTCGGATACCAATGACCACATCCAAGCAAATATTGCCGCCCAGGAGAAGGTTGTGCATGTGCTTGGCTGCGCCTGTGACAGCACTACTAGCCTTCCGAACCGCTTTGTCAACTTCGTCCAGTTGGTCTGTCGTTGGTGTGTCGTGAAGGCCCTCGCTGTGTCAATCTTGGTTTTGTGACCGACCGGGAGGAACCAAAGTCGTTCGCAGATTCGCTGGGCATCCTGAAGACGTTATCGTTCTTTAGCATGAAGACCACGTCTACCACTGCCGGTACAAGACCCAGTAGTACCAGATCCCAAAACAAAGGCCGTCTCTTTGACCCCCGTGAGAAGTTGCGGATACTGCTGTAGTTTGTTTCAAAGCTGCCTCATGCTGTGGGCCAAAGTAGGTGATTTGTGTCTTTTGGCTACTTTCCCTCACTCCGCAGAGTTGGCTGAAGTCGTGCCAGGCATGAAGCGTGGCCACCAGGGTAGAAGCGCTGTTTGATGTCCAAGATCTGTCATCATATAAATGATTTGAATTCTTGCGGTTTCATGGGTCGGGCCTATGGATTCCGTGAAGTTGAAGCCCGCAAACATCAGCACTTGTAAGCTAATGGGCTCATATAGGATCTCCTTGTGGTATTGCCATAGAAGTTTCCCAGCATTGCGGCGCTGTGCTCGTCTTGTATTGAACCATCTCTTCTGCTGTGCCCAATACGAGCTGAGCGTGTGGGTCAAGGTGGTGGGTATAAGCCAAGGTGGCTCATTGCTGCTGTTGCAACCTGTGGGCGTGGTCGAATGCCATCTGGTAATCCAGGGTGCACAAGTAGCCATCTGTGACCAGGTTATCTGCGAGAACAGAAGCCTGTTGTTCACTGCCATTGTTTCCTCCAAAGTTCCTGGGGAAAGTTCGGAGTTTCCATTGCGCAAATGATTTGCGACTTGGTCCATGAACTGCTCCGAGATGGTATTTGTTTCTGTAATTTTGCTTCTTTTTGGCATATTGACTTGTCTAGAAAAAATCCTGAACTGTTGGCCGGCCTTGGATGGTCTCAGCTTGGGGAAAGTTGTCCAGAATGTGGGATGTTGCGTCTTGCACCGCAGTGTGCGCATTTGCGCTGGCCCAAATCTGGTGCCAGTGCTGGCGAACTGCAGCCAGGACCTGCTGGTCTGAGACCAAGACCTATTGGTCCTGTGTGACCTTGCAGATGGGGTAGCCGTGGCTCGGCTGACCCATGTGTATCGTGCAGGAGGGTCACTGCGCATGGCCTGCTGCCATTCAGCCAGCTTTTGCTGACGCTGCTGCGTCTCGCTTTGTGCAAGCTGCTGTTACTTGGTCTGAATCTGACCAAGAATTTGTTGTCCGACAGAGGTTCTGTCCTAAGTTCTTCGATGTACTGATTGGAGTCGAAGTATTGAGTGTAGAGTGTGGCGTGTCAAGTGTAGAGCGTGGAGTTCAAGTGTAAAGTGTGAGGTGCGAAATGTAAAGTGTAAAGTGTAGAGTGGAGTGTAAAATGTAAAGTCTGGAGTGTCAAGTGTAGAGTACAGAGTGCGGAGTGTAAAGAGTGAAATATAAGTGTAAAATGTAGAGTGCGGAGTGCAAAGTGTAAAGTGTGGAGTGTATAGTGTAGAGCGTGGAGTGCGCAGTCTGAAGTGCTAAGTCCTGTAGAGTGTGGAGAGTAAACATGTAGCGTGTGGAGTGTAAAGTGTCCAGTGTAGAGTGCGGAGTGTCAAGTCTTAGTGTAAAGTGTGAAGTGTGAAGTGTAAAGTATAGAGTGGGTGTAGTGTGGAGTGAAGAGTGAGGAGTGTGAAGTGCACAGTGTGAAGTGTGTTGTGAAGTGTAAAGTGTAGACTGTGGGGTGTAAAGAGTGCAGTGTAGAGTGTCGAGTGTAGTGTGGAGTGTGGGGTGAGGAGTGTAAGTGCGCAGTGTGGAGTGTGATGTGAAGTGTAGAGTGAGGAGTGTGGAGTGTAAAGATTGCAGAGTGTAAAGTGTAGTGCCGAGTGTAGAGTGTGGAGTGTCAAGTGTAAAGTGTGGAGTGTATAGTGTAGAGCGTAGAGTGTGTAGTCTAAAGTGTAAAGCCCTGTAGAGTGTGGAGCGTAAAAATGTAGAGTGTGGAGTGTCAAGTGTAAAATGTAGAGTGTGAAGTGTTAAGTGCGAAGTGTAAAATGTAAAGTGTAGAGTGTGGAGACGTAAAGTGTGGAGTGTGGAGTGTAAAGTGTAGAGTGTGAAGTGCCAAGTGTGAAGTGCCAAGTGTGAAGTGCGAAGTGTAAAATGTAAATAAATGTGAAGTGTAGAGTGTAAAAGTGAGGAGTGTAAAGTGTAAAGTGCAGAGTGTAAACTGTAGAGTGTGGAGTGTAAAGTGTAGAGTGTGGAGTGTCAAGTGTAAAGCGTGAAGTGTAATGTAGTGTGGGATGTACGGTGTGGAGGGTAAAGTGTAGAGTGGTAAAGTGTGGAATGTAAAGTGCAAAGTAAACTCTCACAATGTCCTACGCCGTTACGCCTGCCACGCAATTTGCACGTTGTCACCACTTGACGCAGCACTGACAATGCGATTCGCAAAAAACACGCAACACCACACGTCCTAAGTGCTGCGCTTGCCACGCAACATGACGATGGAGGTCTCCAAACTGCGCCTGCCATGAAAAATGCAACTCATCTACGACGCAACATGCGCATGTCACACGGAACGATTTTTGACGCATTATGACACATGTTATGGAATGTCACGTCTGCCACACGAAACAGAGGAAAACCATCTTTTAAAACCTTGGAAAATGATGGGTTTTGCAACTTCCCCATAGGCACGGCGATGCCACGACTAAACCAAAGAATCCAAACAAGAAATGCAGAAGCCTCAAAACGAGCATTTCGTACGAGATTCATGAACCTCAAAATATTTGCTACCTCAAAACCATTCAAAATCGATGTTTTGTGCGATGCTTCCGTCAATTTTCAACACATCAAATGCCTCCCTGCCAAGGAATTTGCACGTTGTCACCATTGACGCAGCACCGACAATGTGATTCGCAAAAAACACGCAACACCACACGTCCTAAGTGCTGCGCTTGCCACGCAACATGACCTTCCACGAAAAATGCGACTCATCTTCCAAAAACGACACAACAGTTTGCGCATGTCACACGGAACGATTTTTGACACAGTATGAAACATGTTGTGGAATGTCACAAAGTGCCACGCCTGCCACACGAAACGACGTTGCGCGACGTTTGAACCTTCTAAAAGTGACCACTTTTGCAGCACTCCCCAAAGGCACGGCCATAGCAAACTCACACGGACGATGGCGAACGGTGGCGAACGGTTGTGAAATGTTGCGAATGGTTGCGGATGGTTGCGCGTCCGGCAAACACACCGTCAACCCTCAAAGCCTTATATATAGAGTGAAGCAGGAACCCTTGCTACACATTAAGCAAAATTGCATCTGAAGCACCAACCTAAGAAGGACCAGCCTTCAGGATTGTACTACTGGTACACACGAAGAAAGACTTAAACGTTGTTGACAGCGACCTGCACCATTGACGATCGACCTATTGAAGTCTCTGCTGCTCCCAGATAAATATACCAACTGATTCCCATCAACCGAGTGGCAACCTGCTCTGAAAACCTTCATCTATACTGGCCCCTTCCACAAGTTGGTCCAATGTGACATCACCTTTGCCTTTGGAATCCAAGCGGTCGAACATTTCTTCCTGACATGAACAGCGGTGTGATGCAATGCGGTGGGCATGCTGGTCATGTATGGGGAGATAGTTCTGGGACAGAAAAGAAAGGCAATGGTTTACACATTGGAAATCATAATTATTTGACAATGACTTGTTTGGATTTAAGGACCCCGGGCCAGGCTTAGGCCCTAGGGCCGCGAAATTCAAAACACCATCAACATCAGAAGCAGCTGTGCCGGGCTTAAGTGTCTAGCCCTCCGTGTGAGTGCTGTGCTTGTTTGAATTTTCCCTGTCATGTGCATGAGCATTTTCCTTTGTGGTGGCCTCTGTCCGTAATATTCCGTAATCCTTGGACTATTTGTGGACATTGTGATCAGTGAAAGCTATAGCTATGGTTGGGGACTATGCAACCCCAGCTGGCAAATTCTGAGCGTGATTTCAACCCTTGGCCGCATTAGCCTTAGCATGGGGTGGGGAATCGTTTTCGGGTCAGGTTGTGTTTTTTTTTTCGGATTCCTGTTTGCCTTATACTTGCAGCATTTGGAAGCTATAAGCTTGCATTTCGCATGGTATTTGCACAAATTTGAGCATGTTCTTCTCGGGAAGCTAGTGCGATTAATTTTGCATGGTATTTACGGCACTTTGAAACTAGAAGCTACCAACTTGAATGGAAAGCGCACAATCTCGGAACTAGAATAACTAGAATTTGCCAAATTACGAAAGGTTTTCACTGCGTTCTTTTGATTTCGCTCAGTATTTGTGGCATTGGAGCTAGTGCATTTTGCATGGTATTTAGGGCACTCAGTGGCTAGAGGCTACCAACCTGACAACCTGAAAGGAAATTGCACGAATTTACGGCTAACACTTGCCAAATTACAAAGGATTTTAACCATATTCTTCTCATGCTGTGTGGTATTTGCAAGATTTGTGGATGCTAGGCTAACATGGCGCAGTATTTGCAGCACCTTGGGCTAGGCTACCACCCTGAAAGGATTTTTTGCAGGTGTGGTGAATGTGGTAATGTTGGTTATTGGTTGTTGTTTGCTGTTTGTGATTTTGGTTGGGGTTGTGCTCCTTGGCTGTGTGATTGTTGCGATTGTTGCGATTGTTGTGATTGTTGTGATTGGTGTTTTTGTTGCTGTTGTTGTTGTTGCTGTTGTTGTTGTTGCTGTTGTTGCTGTTGTTGCTGTTGCTGTTGTGGCTGCAGTTGTGGTTGTGGCTGCGGTTGCTAGTGTCGTTGCTGTTGCTGCTGCTGCTGCTGTTGTTGCTGAGGTTAATGTTGATGTTTATGTTTGTTCTTATCCTGTCGCTGTCGTTGTTGTCGTTGTCGTTGTCGCTGTCGTCGTGGTGGTGGTCGTGGTGGTGGTGGTGGTGGTGGTGGTGGTTGTTGTTGTGGCGGTGGTGGTGGTGGTGGTGGTGGTTTTTGTTGTTGGTTGTTGGTTGTTGGTTGTTGGTTGTTGGTTGTTGTTGTTGTTGCTGTTGCTGTTGTTGCTGTTGTTGTTGTCGTTGTCGCTGTCGTGGTGGTTGTTGTTGTTGTTGTTGTTGTCGTTGTTGTTGTTTTTGTTGTTGTTGTTGTTGTAGTAGTTGTTGTTGTTGTTGCTGCTGCTGTTGTTGTTGTTGTTGTTGGTTGTTGGTTGTTTGTTGTTTGTTGTTGTTGTCGTTGTCGCTGTCGTGGTTGTTGTTGTTGTTGTTCTTGTTGTCATTGTTGTTGTCGTTGTCGTTGTTGGTTGTTGGTTGTTTGTTGTTGTTGCTGTTGTTGCTGTTGCTGTTGCTGTTGTTGCTATTGTTGCTGTTTTTTTGGTTTCGTTGTCGCTGTCGTGGTTGTTGTTGTTGTTGTTGTCGTTGTTGTGGTTGTTGTTGGTTGTTGGTTGTTGGTTGTTGGTTCTTATGCTGGTGCTGTTGTTGTTGCTGCTGCTGTTGTTGTTGTTGCTGCTGTTGTTGTTGTTGCTGTTGCTGCTGTTGTTGTTGTTGTTGGTGGTGGTGGTGGTGGTGGTGTTGCTGGTGCTGGTGCTGGTGCTGATGGTGCTGCTGGTGCTGGTGCTGCTGGTGCTGCTGGTGCTGCTGGTGCTGATGGTGCTGATGGTGCTGCTGGTGCTGCTGTTGGTGCTGCTGCTGCTGCTGGTGGTGGTGGTGGTTGTTTGTTGTTGCTTTGCCGTTGGTTTGCAACTGGTTTGGTGTTGGTTGGGTGTTGTTGGCTTGCTGCTGATGTATATGTAGAGCAATGTGTTTACAAGCGTGCAAGCTTGGATTTAGATTTTAAAGTGGGAAAAGGGATTGTGCGAGGGTCAGCGCCTCCCCCCACCCAAAGCAGAAAGACAATAACTGTTCTCACATGCAATGCTGTGGGTTGAATATGGCAGTCAAGGTGTAAAATAGCATGCACAAAATGCACCTTGTGAACATGCAGAATGCAGGTTGAAGAATAGTTGCGCCGGCTGCAAAAAAAATCATCGGAGGTGATAATGTAATTATATGCTGGTTTAGGATTCATTTAGGGTTGTTCTAGGCATGCGGCTGATACGCCGCCCTTGGAAGGGTTGTTAATTTTGAGATGTGCAGTTTACGATCCCTTGTTGGAAGGGTCGCAAATTTGAAAAATGAAGGTTGCCAAAATGGGGGTACAGGATTTAATTTTCGCCTTTGTTAACATTTTGCAGATGCTGCCGTATGTTCATCAGGGGGGTGGGGGGTGGGGGGGTGTTAATGTTCCTGACGCGTATTTCACTTACGTTACGGCACACGTTGCCGTTGTTAACATGTTGCACATGCCGTCGTATATTCATCAGGGGCGAAGGGTTGTATTAACGCTCCTGACGAATATTTCAGTTACGTTACGGAACACGTTGCCGTTGTTAACATGTCGCACATGCCGTCGTATATTCATCAGGGGGGTGGGGGGGTGTATTAACGTTCCTGACGAGTACTTTGCTTACCTTACGGAACACGTTGCCATTGTCAAATGTTGTCAACATGTTGCACACGCCGTCGAAGCCTGACGAATACTTCACTTGCGTTGCGGAACACGTTGCCTTTGTTAACATGTTGCACATGCTGTCGTATATTCATCAGGGGGCAGTTGGGGGGGTGTATTAACGTTCCTGACGAGTTGTAACAAGGATTACCCTCACAAAAGATTCAAGATGGCCCAAGTTAACCACAAGAACAAATACTTTACTTCGAGTTATCCCCACCATGACATTTATACATTTTGTTACTGGCAAATCTTCTGGCATTCTATCTGACATACCTTCTGGCATTTTATCTGACATATCTTCTGGCATTCTATCTGGCAATATCTGGCATATCTTCTGGCATTCTATCTGGCATATCTTCTGGCATTCTATCTGGCATATCTTCTGGCATTCTATCTGGCATATCTTCTGGCATTCTATCTGACATTCTATCTGGCATATCTTCTGTCATTCTATCTGGGCAATTTAGAATAAATCGTACCTCGTCATCTCGTGCTTAAATCGTGAAACCGGAACATTTAGTGACCTCGTTAAATGAGCATTTTATGTTTAACCCCTCGTCGAACACAGCCCAGTTTTGCCTTGCAAATACAGCTCTTTCATCCCATTCAAGCCTCACGCCTTCCCTTTGGCGGGGACAAGTCTTCCAAAATGCTTGGCGGGGACAAATCTTCCAAAGGCTGGAGGACAGGGAGAAGGAAAAAACACTTTTCTAGGGGAGAAAAGTTTTTTAAATTTTTTTTTTGTTTTTTTTTGCTTGGACCAAATGGCAAGTGGAAAAAAAAAACTTTTTAGGCTGCGAAAAGTTTATTTTCTCTCCCCGGCATTCAACGTTCCAGACTAGGAAAAGTTGTTCTTCTCGAAACAAGGGTCTGCATTTCCTCTTGAGAACGGGAAGCAACAACCACAAGCATGGCCAACAGCTACAGGAAAATGAGCTTTCAGCAAAATTGCTGCAGAATCACAGCTTGCCAAAAAAAAATTTTCAGCTCCAGAAATGTTTTTTCCCATGTCCCTTGCCATGGAAACGGTGTCTGAGCACCCACCTCATCTGACTGTATTTAGTTAAACCACCTCGTTAAAACCAAAAGGCTACCTCGCACCTCGGCTGTCCTCGCTATAAATTGCACAGATTCTATCTGGCCGTTGAGGTCCAGCAGTGCACACTGAGCTGGGAAGGTCCCAGGTTGAGGTCCAGCGGTGCACACTGAGCTGGGAAGGTCCCAGGTTGAGGTCCAGCGGTGCACACTGATCTCGGAAGGTCCCAGGTTGAGGTCCAGCGGTGCAGGTCCAGCGGTGCACACTGAGCTGGGAAGGTCCCAGGTTGAGGTCCAGCGGTGCACACTGAGCTGGGATTGTCCCAGGTTGAGGTCCAGCAGTGCGCACTGAGCTGGGAAGTTGGCGAAGAGCTTGGCGAAGAGTTGGCAAGGCGGAAGTTGAGGTGGAAGTTGATGCAGACATGGTCGAGGAGAAACTGGAGGAGGAGGCGGAGGAGGAGGACGAGGAGGAGGACGAGGAGGAGGACGAGGAGGAAGAGGAGGAGGAGAAGAGCTACTCGAGGAGGAGAAGAACAGCTCTGATAAAATCTAACAACCCTCACCTGGCAGGTGGGGAACTAAGATTTATCATTTTCGAGGTGGTTCGTGAGCAAATCCCATAGAACCATTGTTGCTGGTATTCAACAAATGGATGGTACATGGAAACACTTCAAAAATTTCAGACCAATGCCCATGCTCCACAAGAAAAACCAGCAAGTGCACAAAAAAAAGGTACTCTTGGGCTTAGAGTTGGACATGGCGTCGTTATGTCGCCTTGTTGGAGTCTGTGGCCGCTGCGTTGCCAAAAAGCACTCGGGCACTGAAGCTTCGAGAAGAGGAAAAAAAATGGATGGGTGGATGTTTGCCTGGGATGATTGAAAATCATGATGTTCGCTGTTCGAATGTTTTTTTTACCCCTTGAAGAGCAAAATCGATTCACTGCGCAAGCGAAACGCAAATTTTGACACTTGAGTCACACGCCTGCCAATCGACATGAATGTCCATTTTGCAAACATTTTTTGACACATCTCACAAATACCAGCATTTTGTCTCTTAGCCTCAGAAATCACAATTTCAAATTCATCACCCTTACAAGGGCGGCGAGTCAACTGGTTGCCTTGTTTTAGGGTTCGTTCAAAGTTGGTTTAGAGTCTGTTCAGGGGTGCAAAACAATGCAAAACGCAACCAATTCCAACAGAAAGATGGTCCAAACAAGGTCCATCCATACGGGTAACTAAAAAAGCACAAAAATATGAGAAGCAAAAAAACGGAGAAGCAAAAAGATGTAGAGAAGCAAACGGACGGGGGCGGGGGGGGCAGCAGGGCGGGGGGGCAAAGAAGCAGGGGGACGGGGAAACAGGGGGGCAGGGGGATCAGAAAAGCGGGTGGGCAGAACAATTGGGGCAAACAGGGATACGCAGGGGGTACCGGGGGCACGGGGGCGATGGGGGCGAGGAGGGGGGCAAACAAATCTCCAAACTGACCCGAAAATAATCCCCCAAAAAAATACCTTCCCTTAGCATGCCCTGATGCCTTGTGAGATTGCAGGTTGCTTTCGCCATTTCGGCTAAGATGCACTTGCAAGCACCCACTCTTTAGTTTGCATCCTTGTGAGTTTTTCTCTCTTTGAAGTGATGTACTTGTGCTCTAGGGAAAGTGCGTGAGCATCGCTTTCCATGCTTTTCCGATTTCAAAGGACGAGGGGCAATACGGCATTAATCAGAAAAAATCAGTACTGTATTCGGCTATCGCAGCCAAAGGCTGATGCAAAAGAAATCTGAAAGAATCGATTGAGAGGTGTATGCAGAGTGTGTTTCCGATACGCGGTATTTCCGTTTACACCGCCGCTCAAGGCTTAAGGCCTGCATGCTTTGTGTAGCGGTTCAACACGTTTAGGCTCGCAGAGGGAACATGTATGTTTTAGTCTTGCTCTGCATTGGGTGCATCCTTGTGAAAACCAAAACTGTAGCGATTCCGCCAACAAAATCCAACAAAAACCAAAGACATCGTCAGAATTTGAAGCCGGACAACCAGTTTCCAGCCATATACGTTTGTCATGGTTTGTCTGGCATCAAGGAAACCATTTGTTAATTATCAGCTTTCCTACTGAATCAAAATCACTTTGCCACATATCGGCGATAAATCGGATTTGGTGGTGGAAAGTTTCGAGATGCTTCCTGTCCTACGCCCATTACATTCCCATCAAAAACGCCTTTAAACCGTTGGTTGTTGCCACCATCTTTCCATTGTTTTCCTGAGCCATTCATTCACCTGCAGTGAGGTGACGAGTTTCGAGATGCTTCTTGTCCTGTGTATTTTCATGCTCCAGCTCCTCTGCCAAATGCAGCAAATCTTTCTGCCGACTCTCTGCAAAGGAGTCCACAACCACCTGGCTTGAACTTGAGGCATCCAAAGAATGGACTTGCAGTCCATTTACATCAACATGTATCACATGTACATCTAAATTTAAACATGTAATATGTTTCTATTAAATTAATAAAGATATATCTATAATTGATCAAAATGACAAGCAACTGGGCCTCTTCGGTGCTATTCATACCCAGATCACCACTCTTTTCACCCCCCTGGGGGTGCCCCGCCCAAGGTATATTCCAGCAGTTTCGGTCCCTCACCCATCCGCACCACAACTCATCCTCACCACAACTGGCTAAACGTGTCGCGGCAAGTCAGTCAATACTATGAGCATCGCTTACGACCCGCGGTCGTAAGCAACGCTCACTGTCCGGTAGCAACGCGTCTCGCATGTTTTTGCCATTGTTTTGTCATTTTTAAATTGACGTTTTTTTCGCATTGTCGAGGCCGAGCATTGCTTGCGACCAACACTTTCTGCTTTGCTGTCAAACCATGTCAAATCCATGTTTGTATGGCATACAATATCACGCAAACAAAATTCTACTATGTGCTTGTCTACGTTTTGGGAGGGGTAGGGGGCTGGATTTTTTTTCAGAAATTCCGAGGGGTCACCCCCCTTGGAAATTCCAGGCTCTACTGGGTAGCGATACACGCAGGCACACGCAGGTATGATCCATCTACACACATCGAACATTCGTTTGCATGCAGCCTTACTGCCCCCGTATATAGTGATGTTGCCTATGGATCTTGCATGCAGTATCTACGTTTGCAAAACGGGCAAGTATATTGAAGTATATGGACCCGTGTAGAAAAATATGGTTACCTCCGGTGATTCAGCCTATGCACAACAAATTGCTTGCACCTGAGCTGCATGCACATTATGATTACAGAATATGTGCTGCAAACCTCAATGTCTGTTTGTGACCTATTGTATTGCAGAGACCATGTTTTCGAATGCTTGGAAACCAAGATCCCAATATTCAAAAACCATTTCAAAATGGTTGACGGGTGGCCAACCCCCTTCGAATGAATCATCATACACCTCATGTCCGACAAAGGAGCCCTTACATTTGTCACCACAACATCAAATCACGCATGTTTCCCATTTCCCATCTGTTGAAGATCCCTGCCGCCTGCGCCTGTGTATTACATATTACATATCCATATGGGCTCCGAAAATGGCTAGACCGAGTCCTCAACAAAGGTTTACTATTTTTCTCATATTGGGCGGTGGTGTTGATCCTAAACATACCTAAACCATACAATTTTGCTGGTCCGGCTGAATGTAACAAAAAAAGTCCAAGCCGCAGCGACCACCATGTTCAAAACCCCAAAGACCAGCGTGAGCAACGAGCCGCCTGCAGCCATGGAAACGTTCGAGACCCGCAACGGCCAAGAAGAACCATGACTTCGGCTTTTTTGGGCAACGCCAAAGAGAAGTGCATGAGTGCATGACTCTTAC